TGTTAGAGCAATACATAGCGTCGAGACTTTGTATTTGACTGAGTTCATAAGCCAGGTAAGAGTTGAGCATTCACATGGAAGGAATTCCACAGATTGACTAATCGTTCAATCAAGTAGTGGTTTTCTTTGTTTGCTGAGAGCAGAGTGATGCTTCTTTTGAAGCTTGTGGCTTTGTGTTAAAGAGACAGCAGACAATCTTTTGCTGCTTGCATTCCCCGTGCCACTCACTAGGTGTCTGTAAATCCGTCATATCCTTTTTCCTTTTCAGGCTGAAGAGTCATAGTTTGATTCCTCCCAGGACAGAAGCTGCTCTATACTTTGGATTGTCCTTGTCACCCTTCTCTGCCTTTTTTTGTGCTGCTATTTGCTTTGAGAACAGGCACTCTAGAGCTGCACACGGTGTTGAAGATAAGCCTATAATGAGTTTATATAGCTGTGCTGGTTTTGGCTGAGATAGAGATAATTTTCTTCACAGTATCTAGTACAGGACTATGTTTTGGATCTGTGCTGAAAACAGTGTTGATAACACAGGGATGTTTTAGTTATTGTTGGGCAGTGCTCACACAGAGTCAAGGCTTTTTCTGCCTCTCGGCTCACCCCACCAGTGAGTGGGCTGGGGATGCACAAGGAGTTGGGAGGGGACACAGCTGACCCCAACTGACCAAAGGGATATTCCACACCATATGATGTCATACTCAGCTCGTAAAGCCAGGGGAAGAAGGAGGAAGGAGGGGACATTCAAAGTGATGGCGTTTGTCTTCCCAAGTGCCTGTTACGCGTGACAGAGCCCTGCTTTCCTGGAGATGGCTGAACACCTACCTGCCCATGGGAAGTGGTGACTTAATTCCTTGTTTTGCTTTGCTTGCAGCTTTTTCTTTACCTATTAAGTGGTCTTTATCTCAACCCACGAGTTTTCTCACTTTTCCGATTCTCTCTCCCATCTCAGTGAGGAAGAGTGAGCAAGCAGCTGGGTGGTGCTTAGTTGCCAGCTGGGGTTAAACCACGACAGTCCTTTTTGAGATAAGAACAATTTAATAATTGAAATAAAATAAAATATAATAGTATAATAATAGAATATACAAACGAGTGATGCACAGTGCAGTTGCTCACCATCTGCTGACCAGTGCTCAGCCTGTTCCCAGCTAGCAATCCAAGAGGATAGAAATCCTGAAAGAGAGGGAGAGAGGACTTCCCGGCCAACTCATTTATACATTGAGCAGGATGTCACTTTCTATTTTACTCCCTTAATTTCATATAAATTTCTAACTTTTTTCCCTTTTTGACTGTTGCTGAGCACAAGTGCTCACACTTGTACATTGTCGTTGAACATAACACTGAAGAACTTTCTGAAAATTCCCAGAAAACTATAAGGTCTTTCCTTAGTAATTGGTACAAGTTACTTTTAACCCTGTAGTGGATTTTAAGTTAATTTTACAATTGATGTCTCTGAATAGCATGTTTCTGTTTATTAAAGTTCTGTAAAGGCTATCACGTGCCACTGAAAACAGCTCTTAATGCCTAGTTCCAGCAGTTTGTAAGGAGGATTAAAAAAGGGTAAATGTCAAGATGGAGTTCAACCTTGTTCTCAGACTTGCATGAGGAAGTTCTCCGAGAAAGTGACAATTGAATCTGAGACTTGCGACAGTCATCTTTTTGGCCTTTAACCAAGGCTGTTCTGGAATAAATCCCTTCTAGTTCACTGTGTGTTCCCTCACTCCAGGACTGGAATACTGTATCTTCTTCCAAACATCAGAATCCAGAGCTATATTTTTGCAATGTTGTTTGTATCCAGTGGGAGGATATGATTATTTGCTGTGGTATTTGCCAGCTTTAGAAAAAGCTCACCTAGCTTAAAACATTATTTGGTTGTCTTACATCAGCATGGTTTTTGTCACTTGAGGAGAGAATATATCTGGTTAGAACATGAATCTTGAAACGATTTTGTTTCTGCTTCCAGACTTCCTTTTTCCTATCTGACCTCAAATAGAAAAGGTCTAATAATTATTGTAAAGCTTCATGCTATGTATAAGATAAGGATTTGAAAATGTGGGAAAGATACTCTAGAAGTGCAGTGAATATTTGATTTTTGTATCCAAGGCAAACAAAAATAATAGTCTTAACATACAGTAGCGTTTTTTATTGGTGTTGGAGCTCTGTAGGTGCAATGTGGTTCTTGGCTAATACTGTGCTACCTAATCCTACCTTCTTATGGTTTACTCCAAGGTTCTATGTTGTTCAGGGTAAAGAATCCAGCTTAGGAATCTCCTGTAGTAAAGACTTCTGTTTACTACTACCTTGGCAGGTTTTTAAACTTGGTACGTGCGCTGCTAGAGAACTGAGGAAACCGTATCTTGCTTTCTGTCTGCTTTAGGAGGTTATTCAAACATCAGCAGTTGAATTACATTCCAGAAAGATGGTTTGAAACAGATTCTGTCATGCTGTTTATTAAGATCTTTTTGGCTGAGAAATACCACTACATGTGCTTACAGGGAAAAGCACTACGCTGCACTTAGATGTGTAAGATGTCAATCTGTTGATGTTTCTTTAGAACTGAAATTGAAGGTGTTATGCTGCATCACAACACTTAATAAAAATCTTCCGTTCAGTCATAAAGCAATTTTACTAAGCAAGACTATAACATGTGATCTATCAATTGCCATAGGTGGTGGCATTCTTCAAGCAAGTTATTCTTTTTTTTTTTTTTGTGAGATGGCTCTGACAAGCTTATACTTTTATGGTAATAGCAGGGTTGTGCTTTTTTTTATTATTATTAAAAACTAGTGGAACTTTTTGTTCCTAGCTTTTTGATTCTTAAATTTAGTGCAAACATTCTCAAATAAAGAGAAAATAATGTTTTCCCATGAAGTGAGTATTTTCTTTGTGAAGGGATATAAATACTCAAAATTGCTATTATTTGCCAAAATCTGAAATAGCTGTCTTTGTTATCATAAGCTTCTTGGCTGAACTGTAGCCATCTGTTGGATAAATATCTGAAAGAATTAGTTATTTCCTTTGCTTTCTTATTTTCTGATGATCAAATGTTGTTTGGCATTGTCTGAGCTTGTCTTGGTCTGGCAGCTTAAAAGAGTAACAAATTCATGCATTGCGGAAATAAATTCTGTAGTGGGATTCATGAGGTTTTATTGAATTATTTTCCTTTCAAGTTTTGTGCTTTCATGAGTTATTTCCAAAAGTCTGTAGTCTGTGGATACCACTTTAACTCTCTTCTCCAAAAGGATTTTGCAGACTCCAGTTTAGAGATTGCTTTTCCATGTACACTTCTTTTTTGTAAAGAGAACTTGGTCATGTAAAATATGAAATAGTTTTTGCAATGAAGAGCAACTCTAAAATCAAATTCAGGATAACCTGTTAGATGTGCAAACAGACTTTGATTGCCCGTGTGAAATAGGATATTTTTTTTTCTGTTTTTTTTCTAATATAGTCAAATATTAGACTGACATCAAAAAGCAATTTCAGACTGGTCACTAACATGCATTTTTAGAAGTTGTAGCCATTGGGAAGTGATTAATAGTGTAACATGCAACTGATTAAAATAGCGAGTCAGAGAGGTGTGTGGTGATTTTAGTTTATTATTTTGTTGAATTGTTTTTTTTTTTTTTCTTTTCCCCTGGTATGTTTGAAGTTGAAAGTGCATTAGTCAGAGGACAGAGGTATATGCTGCTGAAATTGTACATAGCCTGGGTTGTCAAAGATACCTAGCCAGTACAGGATACCAGGCAGAAGGACTTAGATGAGTTTGAGCTCTGTAAATCTGGATATGGTTCATTAGTTGGTGGTTTAGTGTAATTTTAGTGACTTCTGCCTGAGGTTTCCTCAGTCATGCGTAGTCCTTGTACCTTCACACTGTTCCCCTTGGCTCTGTAAGTCACGGTATGGTTTAGTTTCTAGAAAACTTTCAGACTAAACTTTGAGCCCTGATTTTAACTTTGTAGCCTCACTGCTTTGAAGCAGTGCCATAGACTGGTGTGAAATAGTTCAAACCAAAATAGACCTTTGAAACAGCCAGATAAATTTCAATTCTCATAAGTATCAGAATAATTCCTTCTCCCACAGCATTATTACTCTCATCTGTCCCCTGATACCTGAATTGTATACCAGTGGGACACCTAGGATTCTGCATATCTCAATGGTAAAGAAGTTGTCTTTAGGAAGTGGGATATAAGATAGTTATGAGGCAGTTGGGTTTTTTTTTAATAATTATTTTTGAAAGGTGGAAAATAAAGGGGGGAGAGAGTTATCCTGCAAATAATTCTAGATTGCATGCTTCCCTCCTGTTGAGAATCTGCCTGTTAAACCTTCTCTTCTCGTGGTCTGGTCCTTCCCTTGATGTTATGAGCATTCTTATATGAGCACTGAGACTTAGCCCTTGCCCTCCATAAGTCATTTTATGCACTGTTCTTTGTGTAAAAGAAAATACAGGATTACCATGAGTAGGATGCATGATCGTGCTATGTGGTGAAGCTTCCCTGAGAGGGATTTGGGTGCTATACATTGAATTTATGGCAGTAACATGGGACATAAAACAAGTCTGCCATGCTCAGTCCGTTGCACAACTGTGAAATGACAGCATTAGGTCAATCCCTATCACTTTGCAGCTGAGATGTAGTTGTTGGATTTAACAAAAAACCCACTGGTTTAAATGCATTCAGGCTGCTTATAATCAACCCATCACAGTGAACACAGGCCTTGCATGTTACAACTGTATATACTTTTTTTTAAGGGGTGTGGGGACAAAGACTTTAAGCACAGAGGGAAGAGCCACGTAGTCAAATAGGCGAAGGAGCTACCTCATGCACAGGTCCTGAGCTACATATTGAAGTGCCGTTTGAGTAGCGTGGCGTTATCTTGACTCTTAGTTTACTGTTATTTCATTTCACTATAACTCTCTACTTCTTTTTTTATCAAAAGTAAGTTATTCTTAAGTTATGTACAAATTATTTATCCCCATCTTTATACACTTGTATGTCACGTTCTTGTAGGCCAGACTACTCTGAAGAGTCCACAGGATATTCAGGTCAATGTTGTAAATACAAATTTCACTCTAAGGTGGAACTACACTGGGAATGATACCAATGTGACGTTTTCAGCAGAATACTGTTGGTAAGTAGTAACTTAATTTTTGAGCCAGAAATTTCTGTTGCATGCTTATGTAGAAGAGCATATTAATTAATTACTATGCTTCTTGATACTGCCGTGTAAAAATTCTAGAGACTTATTGAAATCCAGAATTAGAGGCCAGGAAATCTTGAAATGAAGTGGAATCCTAGTATTGTCTTTTTTTTTGTCTAATTCATATGTAAAATTAGATTGTTCACTGATAGGGACATGTTATATAATGTAGAATGCACTTGGTAGTAATGCTTAATAGTATAGTGGTTCTTTGAAGAGATTAACCGATACATTGAGAAATGTAGTATTTAGATTTTTTTATTCTCTGCTTTTTTTTTTTATTAAACTACATTGTGACCACACGCACACAGAATTTGAGAGAATTTTCAGTGTAGCTTTTGAATAATTTGTCAGTGTTTATGAAACAATTTAATTTTTGTTCTTAAATGCTTGCTTGGTTTTCTTCAACTGTTTCATATACCAATACTTAGGCATGCATATACGTGTACATTTGGTATTTTGTGGCACTTTCCTGACAAATAAATATTAAAAACCACTTCTAAGATAAAATCTTAAGTTCTTGATTTTTAGGATTTCATAGTGTATGATTTTGCATTAAAAAAAATAGCTTGCCTTCTTCAATGTGTAGACGAGAAACAACTGCTTTGAAAATAGTTTTATTTTAAAAATGTAGTACTAGTCTGAAAGATAAGATAGGAGTTGAGGATAAGCAATTACTACTTCAAGTCAGCTTTTTTTTTTTTTGGTCAGGACATTTTTAATAGATATCCATACCTTAAAAACAGACACATTTCATATAGAGATTAACTCACAAGAAAAATAGCTTCTGTAAAGCTGATTATTCACACACTTATTCCTGAACTCCAGTTTTCTCCTTTGTGTTTTTATTTTCCCCTAATCTGCATTTTAATTCTAATATTAGAATTGGGGTTTTTTGCTGCTTTTTTGCTCTTTTAAGCACTTCTTGCCATCAAGACTTTAAAATTTATTCCAATTAATTATAAAATCATTGCCAGACTAGGATCATGTACTAAGGATATAATTCTGTGTTCTGACACAGTTCTTTGATGCAGCATTCTGACACTCTGTGTTTACATGATGAATAAAGCAAACTGGTATCAGACTTTGCAGACGGATAGTTAAACTTTAGTAATAAGGCTAAACTAATAAATTAATAGATTAAATTTAATTAATTAAATGATTTTATGATTTCCAGGGCAGCTAAGTAGATAACACTGGTTACACTGGTGCTGGTGATAAAACAATATTAAATGGTGTGACATTTATTAGCATTAAGAAGAAAAAGAAATCTCAAGACTTCAAGTGTGTATTGGTTTTATTTTGGGGGGTTTTCTTTCTTCCAGGTTTAAAAATCTTGAGACAAAAGAAACTGAATGGAAGGAGTTGTCTGGGTGTCAGAACGTTACTCGCACGGAATGTGACTTTTCCTCCGCAATAACCGAATACTATGATAAATACCATGTGCGTGTAAGGGCTGAAAGAAGGGAAGAAGTGTCTCCATGGTCTAGCATTTTTGAAATGATTCCATATTTTATAGGTATGAGTTTCATATATGCTGTAATGGTTTTAACTAATGTCCTTCAGCACGTTATTGTGGAAAAAATATATGTGGCTTCCATTGCTCATAACAACATGAGCTAGTGGTTTTCTCAGCCTTAACATAGTACCAAAGTATTTGCAGGTCATGGAATATTGTGATTCTCTCTTTTCTGGAAAGAGGGAAGTATTCTAAGTGATGATTTTTCTGGCAGAATTTTCTGTCACACTGCATTTTTCCACATTTCAGAAAAATTCTTTTTCACAGTGGGCTTTTCTGGAAGTTTTCTGACCTTGTGACTTTTCAGTAGTTAGAGTATAGTACAGTACTGAAGCCTTCCCTCAATGTTGGATTAATTTGTTTGAGCTAGGTTTCTTGCCTTGCATGTTTTAGAATAACTTGTACTGATTTTTCCCTGCAGATTCTGGAAAACATTCGCTAGTAATATTGCATTTTAACTCTACTGCTTTTAGAACCAGATAATGGTGGGTGGTTGTTAGGTTAGATTTCTACTAGATACTGCCTGTTACTATGATCTTTTTACTTCTTCAGAAGAATTAAAAGTAAGATACTATAGGCGATTACTGTGGTTTTATTAATGTAAATTACTTTTCTGGTGGCTTTTCTTTACATAATCATGCTTGACTTTTTTTTTTTTCTTTTAATATTTGCAGCTCAGATTGGTCCCCCAGAAATAGAGCTGCAGTCTACAAATGGAGTCATAAAAATTAAGGTTTCTCCTCCAGAAGCAAATCAGGACCAAAAAATGTGGATAGATCATATACTTTTTAAATATAATCTAGTTATCTGGGAGAATTCGTCAAATGCAGAGGTATGATCACTTTTTTTTTTACTTTTTAACCTTAACATAACTGTCAGTGATGTAATTTAGTTGCTTAATGCTCTAAAATGGAATTATTTAATTGTGTAACTTAATAGCTTTTGCTCTGCAGTTTAAAAGTTGTAAGGGGGGGTTCTTAGTTTTTTGGGCTTTGTTTTTAATAGAGAATTGTATTCAGTAGTTTGTGATAAGAGTTTTGTATTTCTGCTGAATGCTGGAGCCACTTTCCAGTGCATGAGGAAGAAGGTGAAACCATGTCAGATGTGTTGGAGCATGAGCCACCCTCAGCTAGCAGGAACAGGGAAGGGAAGGAGTTCAAGGCAGTAGGAAGAAGCATTTACAGTAAGACATAGATATAGGGGAGGGGAGAGGTAAGAGGCTATCTAGATCTTGCTGAGACCATATAGCTTGACTACAGCTGTCGGTACACTGTCCTATGTCATTAGTAAATTCTTTGGTTTTATACTGTAGGTTGGGTTTTTTTAGGGATTCTTTTGAGGTCTTGTAAGTGTGAACTAATTTCCAAGCCATAATGTGCATCTCGCACAGCAGATATAGCTATTCTGTAAAGACCAAAGCAGAAACAGTCTTTCTATTTTTTATCCTTTTGGGAATGGGTGCCAGCTAGATTAGGGTAGGAATTGAAGAGATATCTGTGCTCTTTTGGAAGACGTAGTTATAATCATTATACATCAAAGGGGAAAAAAGTTGAAGTATAAGTTATATACAAAGGTCAGTCACTGAAAAGTCTGGTAAACCAGGGGGTTAGCAGGAGGGGAAGAGAGGAGCGTTCATTCAGTGAATTGAGGGATGCAAGTGTACTATTTGTCTTCTCAGTATGTGCCTGAATGTTTGTGTGCTGAGCTATGCATCATGCAGATCAGGGCTGCAATCCCTCCCCACTTTCGCCTGTTAAAGGAGCACAACACGGTCCTTCCTCTCAGTCATGTGGCTAAGTTGGAAACTTCCCTTTAGCGTTTATTCAGCTCATGTATTGTCCTTCATTCTCTGTTTTCGCATTTTTGATGGCATATTATATAAATGGGCTGAAACCTGGGGAAGAAAAAGGATACTTTAAAAAATCAGCTCATCCGGAAGAACAGTTATCTTCATATGCTGTTTGCAATTGTTTCTTACAGCTCAGAAGTCAAAGTATTTTTCCTATTGATGTAATTGATGATCTTGCACCAGACACCACCTATTGTTTGAAAGTTCAAGCAACTATTCCTTTGGACTTCCAAGAAGGCTTTTTCAGTCCCATTCATTGTGTAAAAACTACCCGTAAAGGTATAGAGTAAAATCGTTTTATCTTAAAATGCTTATTCAAGTTTAAACTGTTGGAAAGTTAATTGTTCTAAAGCAATAGAAATGTGCAGAATTGCCAAGTTCCTACTCATTTTGGGATAACAGCAATCTTGACAGTTATGTACATTTTCTATAGTAAATCGATATAAAATATGTTCACCTATCAATATTAGAGTTTTAATAGTACAAAAAGGTTGTTGCTCTGAGGCAAATTCTGTCCATTAATTTGGACTGCAAAAACTACTTATATTTTTGGAAAAATAGATATATTTGAATTTATGGCTTTGAATCAGGAGGAAAGGGATGTGTATGTAGGCAAAACAAAAGCCTTTTGTATATTTGGCGATAAATTAATGCATATGAAGTTGAGCTAAGCTTAAAAAAAAATTGGTTTTATGCAAGCCTTGGTGACTTTATTATTACAGATTCTGAAGAATGGTTTAGTGGCAGTTTGCCACCAGGTGCTTGTTTTGCATGTCTAAATTTAAATTCTTTTGTGTGCTGTTCAGATGTCAGTTTAAGTACTTTTAAATGTTTATTTCAGGAAAAAAATAAGTGTAGGAATGTAGAAAGTCAAACATTAGATTGAACCAATGGTGCAACAAAATTACTTTGTTTACGCATGTATATTTTACGTTTTTCTCATCGAGTTATTGCTGAACCAGTTGATTTCTACTTATCTCAACATTTCTGTACTTATTTTTTTCTGAATTAATTTTTAACTGATTTTTTTAAAAGCTTAATATGCTGTATGTATCACAGACTTTGATTTGCCATCTTTATAATGAAAACAGACTACAATTATTATTTTTTTAATTATTGAATGTGAGTGTTCTATGACCATTTACATAAGAAATGCCCATTCAGTGAAAAATTGCTGCGCATAATATAAAGCTTTTCAGTAACTGTGGGTTTCCTTTTCATTTTGAGCAGTGAATGACCTGCTCTGTGCAACAAATGTGAGTGTTCTTGCTTTGAATATGAAATTTCATCTGCATTGGAATAATCAGTATAAACAACATGTGAGCTACAATGTACAGTATCTCATGTGAGTTAAAAAATTTCCATATCTCTATTTAAACAGGTTATTTCATTCTAAATGCCATCCATTGTATTTTGCAAATAGTTATTAGAAGTTAAGGTGAAATACTTATCAAAAGTGGGCTAATGTATTCATTGAAGCATTGGGTACCTCATCTGGACACTGTGGCTCTTAAAAGGACTGCATATAACATCATATCCTAGAATTTCAGGATGCTGGGCTTCTTTTAAGAGTTTAAATACCTGATGGAATGGACTAATAAATATATGTTAAGTAACATTTTTAAAAGATGTGAAGTTTGCATAGCTTTGTATCTTTTTGAATATGAAGAAATTAGATGACTAGAGGTGAGCAAAAATGCAGGTGTTCAAGGTTTCAGTTGTCAACATATTTGATTACTTCTGGTCAGATCCCAACATGGGGAAAAAAAACCATCATGTCTATAAACCTGTGTCTTAATATCTAGTGTTGCACAAATATTGTGGCCAGCATCTAAATGAAGAGGAGAGCTACCTTTAGCATTCTTCTGGAATTCCTTTGACATGACAGAAAAATAATCAACTTAATAGAACTATATGAAAAAAATCTTAATTTGGATTTTAAAAATTTCTGAAACCAATGTATAAATTTTTTTGTTGAGGCTTGATTAAAGCACTGATTTTTATTTCCTCATCCAGTTAACCTCATTGTTTCAGTTATAAATGAAAAAAACAGTATTCTAAATATGAGAAATTTCTTAGAGGACCATTCTTCCAAAAATAAAAAAACCCTCTACGTAGCTGAAGTGAACATGCTTTTCATTTTTTAGAGTTCAAGGACTTCACATAAAAAAACTATAATCTTTTGCAGTGGGTATCTAAAGAAGCTTCATGATGATTACTCAACCAAGTGGCTCAATGTACCTGGATGTGAAAATATCACTGATACACAATGCGATTTCTCATCTGTCATGACTACTACTGGATTTTATTATCTCCGTGTGCAGGCCATGAATGAATATAATAAATCATGTTTGTCTGATGACATAAAAGTAGATCCTCTGGTAACAAGTAAGCAAATGTGTTTTTCTTAAAATTTATTTTCTCAACAAACTTGTATCTAATGCTATTATTTGCAAAAAGAAACTCACTAGATTAATGAAACTGAATACATAGTTCCCCTACAGAAACTATGCTGGGAATTCTGGCTTCATCAAGTTAAACTGGAGTTTTTCTATGGTCTTCTCTATTCAGCACAACCAGTATTTCACTGTGTTTAGAATCATATCATTTGCTTTACAAAATTAAACTACGAAGTACTACATGGTATTTATAATATCACTGTATACTGCGTTAATCACTGCGTGCGCTTGTACTGGAGATATCCCTAGTCTGACTTTTGCCATTGACAGGGAGCACTTCTTGGTATCCCAGAAGAACGATGCCAAAGTCAAATAATTTTGGAATCCACTGCCTCTGTTAATGCCATCTTAAATGGTGGTGACATCTAAGTCAAAAATATGTAACACTCTCCAGAGTGAAATTATAGTAATTTTTATCTTTGCATTTCTTTGATTTTGTGAGAAATGTAACCTTAGTAAAATATTTGACTTCAAAAAAACTATAAATCATAAACATTTCTTAGTGTTTATCTGATATGTGGGGTAATATTCTATTGTCTTCCATACTGAAGATGGAATTAATAGCTATTCTATATGTCAGCTTTCCTTTGTCCAAACTCTTGGTAATTAGATAATTCTTTAATAAGATAACAGTGACCTAGGTAAATAATTAAAGAAAACAAAAACGGTAATGCTTCTCACTTTTCAACTATACTGTAACTGTATATATGTGGAAAAAGAGGGCCCATATCCCGATGAGATTAAGAAGTGTTCACTAGTTTCACTTTGACTTGCACAGAGTTAATCCCACCGTCTGTGTATTTCAAATCACTGAAACTTGCAGAAGCAACATGCGAATGTGGAAAAGAAAATAATTGAAATATTTCTCAGAACTCAAGATTCTGGATAAAGCTATTAGTCAAGTTAGACTTTTAAGTATATGCGTCTTTAAAATTATAATAGATTTAAATTACAGTACTATATGCAATATTTTTATTTGTATCCTTTCAGTCTTAACTTTTTTTTTTTTTTAATGTCTCAAGATGAAATTGGCCCTCCTGGTGTAAAAGTGGACATCAGTGATTTTTTGCTCCATATCCAGATTTCTCCTCCGGGAGGATCTGAGGCTGAAGTCATGAGAACCTATTATGACTTGTCTTACCGCATTCTGTATTGGAAGAATTCATCGAATAATGAGGTATGAACTGGTTGAATACTTACAGCAGTATATAAAATTTGTTACAACTTTAAATACTGAGTTTGAATTCTCAACAAGCTTATATTCAGAAGAGTGGTGTATCAATCATGCAGTCAATTTGAGGTTGTGTTTTTTTGTGAAAAAATATTTTTAAAATCTGGTCAAGACTACTTTTATCACAAAGTAATAGAGTTTTTAATCTTTTTCCATTGATGTAGCTATATGTAATGATTTGCAGAATTGCACTGAGTTTTTTATGAGCTGCTAAATGGCTCACTTTTGAATAGAGGTTGTACAGATCTTATGATGCCGTCTTACAGTATGGCTCTGTGCACTGCCTTAATTAATGTAGCTTCCAGCCCCTCAAATTCTTCTTATTTCTGCATTTGCAGTTTCATACCAATATAGATCATAGAACAATGCAGTCTTGCATGCTTTTGGCTCACGTTTTCATATATCTTTCCATATTCTTGAAATTCTTCTTATAGTAAAATATTTTACAGTAATCAGTAAATGTGTGGAAGGAGAGAACAAACTGCAACGGAAAGACGTTTCATTTTGCACACAGCTTTGAACTGCAAAACGCCAATATGGTGAAAGCAGTTGGTTCTTGCCTATAAGTGTTTCCTGAATATGTTTGCTTAGGAGAAAGTTGTGTGGTTTCTTTTCTTTTATTGAATTCAAGTGCAGAATGGTGTCTAACTTCTTACAGAATTACTTCTTCAGGAGAGGCCAAAATTCTAACCTGTTTGAGTGACTCTTGTACTATTTGTGTGCATCTTATTCTTCCAATTTTTCTTTTTCAGGAGGAAATAAAAATGAAAGAGATAAAGCAGACAATAGGGACAGTCTCTGATCTAACACCCTCAACTTTGTACTGTGTAAAAGTACAAGCATTCTCACAGGCTTACCGCAAAAGCAGTCATTTCAGCAAAGAGGAATGCATCAAAACACCTGGAGGTAGGAAGAGCTTGGGAATTGTTAACCATAACAATTGTCAATTGTTAACTGCTCTGGAAGTAAAATTGTTAACCCTTCATAAGCCTTTGCAGGTCTTGCCAGTTAAAAAATATTTGCAGCATGACTTAATGGCCTCACAGAGTTAGCACCTGGTTGGGCAGAGTGATCCATATCAGCAGTCTCACGTTGCTGCTCTGTGTTCTCTCCTACAGCTAAGTTAATAAACTGCTTTGGTTCTGACCTGGTCAAAATTACATTCTGGTTATTCCGTGGTACAACTCAGTTTAGAAATTATGTCAGGTTAAGAACTGTAATGATTGTGAATTAAACTTTGTTCTGTACAATGACTTGTTTATAGGCAAGCTTTAATTTCCAGCACTTTAAAGATATTTCCAGTAGGGTGCAAGGATTCACTAAATGCTTTATTTTCAAGAATATTTTATTCTTGATATTGTCTTAATTCTTCTGTGAATGGATTAAATTTTAAGAAATCCTATGCTAAAGTGTGAGGAGACAAATCATCAGACTCGTTATAGCTGAAAGTCCACCTTTATGCAAAAGGAGAATACATTTGTAAATGGATTACACTCAGAACATAAGAGCAAGTTATCTGTTGAATTTAGTTTGGTCAATTAATCTTCTATTAATAGGCTGTAACACTAGAAAAATTACTAAATATCCAAACTGAGATAAAGGTAAGAAAATGCAGAAAAGTAACATTACTAATATTACTTCTTAAGCTCTTGGGATTCGTTTATATTGTAGTCCTCGCTGCTTTGTCTTTATCAAGCCTAGAAAGAAACAAATCTTATTTTTTTAGCTTCATAGAATCATAGAATGGTTAGGGTTGGAAGGGACCTCAAAGATCATCTAGTTCCAACCCCCCTGCCATGGGCAGGGAAACCCTCCACTACACCAGGTTGCCCAAAGCCTCATCCAACCTGGCCTTGAACACTTCCAGGGATGGGGCATCCACAACTTCTCTAGGCAACCTGTTCCACTGCCTCACCACTCTCAGAGTGAAAAATTTCTTTCTTATATCTAACCTAAATCTTCCCTCTTTCAGTTTAAATCCATTGCCCCTTGTGCTATCACTACACACCCTTGTAAAAAGTCCCTCTCCAGCTTTCCTGTAGGCCCCCTTTAGGTACTGGAGGAGAAGAATTCATAAGAGGAATTCTTTAATCTGTTTTACCAGTTAGTTATTAGTCTTCTCCATATCCTATTATAATAAGCCTGTGTAAGCCCAAGCAGTACATTCAAGACTCCGTATTGAGAAACACAGTCATACAGATTGCTTCCCTGTACTTCCTGTATGTTCTTATGCTCCACTGTGGAAACCTTTCATTCTCTGATCATTCCTACTAACTGGAAATAGAGATAAAAAGACCTGCTTGTCTCATCTTGATTATTTTCAAAGTGTTTCCTAGTATGTATTATTTTTATTACGTTCAAACTCCCTTCAGTTTGTTTAAGAGATCGTGCCAGAGAATATGTCACAAAGGAGAAGAGAGGAGGGGAGAAGGAAGCTTGCAAGACTCTTGAACTTAAGCACTGAATAGCTTATGACTATACTGATCAAAGGTTTCTTTGACTACAATATTTTACTATCAAAAGCTGGATTCCATCGTGTAAACTCCTCTGCCGTAAGGTCCCAACCGTAAGTCCTGGAACTGAGCCTAGCCTGTTAGAAGGTTTTCCACGGTTCCTGGATTTAATACAGGAATGCAAGACCATAGACTTACAGAATAGTTTGGGTTGGAAGGGACCTTCAAAGATCATCTAGTCCAATCCTCCTGCCATGGGCAGGGACATCTTCCATTAGGTCAGGTTGCTCAAAGCCTCATCCAGTCTGACCTTGAACACTTCCAATGATGGGTCATCCACAACTTCTCTGGGCTACCTGTTCCAGTGTCTCACCACCCTCATCATAAAGAATTTCTTCCTTATGTCCAATCTAAACCTATGCTTTTTCAGTTTAAAATCATTGCCTCTTATCCTGTCACTACAGGCTTTGGTAAAAAGTGTCTCTGTCTTTCTTATAAGCCTCTTAAATATTGAAAGGCCACAATAAAATCTCCCCAGAACTTTCTCTTCTCCAGGCTGAACAACCCCAAATCTCTCAGCCTTTCTTTGTAGGAGAGGTGTTCCAACCCTCTGACCCTTTTTGTGGCCCTCCTCTGGACCTGCTGTAACAGGTCCATGTCTGTCTTGTGCTGGAGTGCCCAGAACTGGATGCAGTACTCCAGATGGGGTCTCATGAGAGTGGAGTAGAGGGGCAGAATCACCTCCCTCCACATGCTGGCCATGCCACTTCTTTTTATGCAGGCCAGGAGATGATTTGCTTTCTGGGCTGCAAGCACACATTGCTGGCTCATGTCCAATTTTTTGTCTACCAGTATTCCTAAGTCCTTCTTGGCAGGACTGCTCTCAATCCCTTTATCCCCTAGTCTGTGTTGATACTGAAGATTGCCCCAACCCAGGTGTAGGACTTTGCATTTGGCCTTATTGAACTCCATGAGGTTCACATGGGCCCCCTTCTCAAGCCTGTCAGGGTCCTTCTGGATCATGTCCATTCCATCTAGTGAATCAGCTACACCACTCATCTTGGCATCAAGTTGATGACACCATGATTGAGCATTGAAGTAAAATTCATCTCTTCTTTCTATACTGACAAAGTAAAATCTTGCGCTGAGCTAGTGTCTAGACTACCAGCGTAGAAAATAACTGGGATATCATTGGGATTGATATCTACTTAAATATCTGAAAGGAATAGATGCTCACTGGAAGATCCTTCTTCACTTTATTGGCTGCATTGTAGTCATCTGAAGCTTGCAACTGGAGTTCTTCTCCTGTCCAAGAAACCATTTGGATGCTTTTGGGCTCCTGAAGACCCTGCAAGTCTAGGCATTGTAATAATTTCCTAACTAAATAACCATGAGCCAACTTCGTAGTAGTAATTGCCCATTCTTACTCCTGTACCACTGCCTTTTTAAAGAGAGCTCTATCAGTTACATGTTATGTTCCTCGAGGTTAGGCCCTGTGCACAAGCATAGTGCAATAGATTTACATGCATCAAGTGCTTCATGGTAGCTGTCTGCGTGGGGCCTCTTTGTCCTGCTGTCAAATAGAGACATGTGACTGGAATATAACTGGGAATATCTGGATCTTGGTTCTGATCCTATCTGCAAATGCCTATGTTCTTATATCAGATAAAAATTTTGTGCTATGTTTTTAATAAAATTATTTAAGATATTGGAATGGCATCACTTTTATAGTGATCATCATAGCTGGGGTATAATACCATGGAAATATGAAATTTTATCATAAATACTGTAGCAGATTTGGAGATAATCTGTTTTTTAATCTTTGCAGTTTATGAATATCTAGACTGAATGGTTTTTATTTACTTTTTTAGATAAAATTGTACCTGTGATCATTTTGGCAATATTTGTAGCTGCCCTGGTTGCTGTCTTGCTTGTGGCTCTGCCACTCATTTTTGCCCTGTATCAAGCCTACAATAAAATCAAATACGTTTTCTTTCCATCATGCCAGACTCCTTTGAACATAGAGGTAAGATTTTTTTTTT